GATGACCAGACGCTAATCGACGCGAGTGCACTCGAGAGACGGCGTAAGGAGGATATACAAGGCTCCTAGGATTTGCTACCGAGGGCATCCACCAGAACATCATTTTCATCGGACACGGGCGCCCCAATGGGGCGAGCAATCAAACTTGGAAAGCGAGGCCGGCGCCAAAAGCACCAGCGAAGCCGTGGTTGCTGGTGGGCTCTTCGTTAACTCTCCGCTCCCTCTGCTTGCCGCAGCGGAGGGCTCCGCGCGAGTAGTCGCAGTTGCGCCCATCGCGCCGCGCGCGCCTATTTGTATCAGGAGAGGCTTCAGGCGTAGAGGAAGACGACACGGACGATGATGATGGAGGAAGGGGAGCCGATGTAGGGGGAGGGCGGGGAGGACTCCGATGATTGAGGAGGGGGGAGCAGAACAAGAGGAGGACTAGGGTGGGTCACGATGAGGATTAGGAGTACGACGAACATGCAAATCGGCATGCCATTCGGCAATGCAGAATCGAAGTGCCGACCCAATGCAATAGAACTGCAATGTGGACTGACACTCCAAATGCAATCCGAAGTACAACCGACATGCATATAGAAATGCGAGTCGATATGATGATCGAGAAACATACATCGAAGTGTTAAGTTGAATTGACATCGAAATCCATGTTCCGGTTATTTTGATATTGCACAGGCATTCGAACTCAGCAGCTCGCTGGGATCATATTCGGAACCGCAAGCGTCAACTTGACACCATAGTCCGCAGTTGAAGAGGTCTAGGCCGCAAGTGCGGTTCGATGCAGTGAGCGATCCCGTCAGCAAATATGGAAACAAAACACAACAAATACAACAGAACGCAAGCCGCAACGGCGAACCCTGCGCAGGGGGTCTTTCCGAAGGCCGCTGCCGTCGGTGCGAAATACACAGCACTGGTGAGAACGCGCATCCCCGCGTGTCGCAGGGCCCGCACGGAAACAACCGAGGCGGACGGTACCCTCAGCACGGAAGGTTCCAGGAGTTCGCCGTTCAAATCATCCTGGCGGGCTTTACGCCTGTGGATGCCATGACAATGGACACCCTAGCAGCCCTATCGTTGAATCAAAAACGTGTTTAAAATGTCGGAAACATGTTCTACAAACGTTCAACACATATTATTCACATGCCTAAGACATGTTTACAACAAGTTTCAGACACCTGGAAAGTATTTGGCAACATGCTTCCTCTCCATTGATCGTCGTCCACCACTTTACGCACGCGGGGGCTGGTCACGAGGGCGTTCGCGTCCGGGAGCATCCACGAGCTGCACCCGATCCAGGAGAGGTCGAAGGAGTTCCCAGGCTCACTCGGAGTTCCACCGAGCCCGCGCGAAGGGACGCCTCGCAGAGTGCTTCCAGCGCCCTTGCGGGACAGACGCTACGCGCGGGACCTTGTCGTACAGTGGAGACCAGTCCACAAGACACCTTCCACAAAAAACCCAACCCTGAGATCCCAGGACGTCCATTGATTTGTGGTGTGGAAACGTCACGCTTTCCGTGGCAAAACCATCGAAACCCAAGGCACCCTGGAGGCAAGCAGGGTGTTTCTTGGCATGGGTCTCCACTGTACCCCCACTCCAACCCCCTGGGGGTGCTCAGCTGGAAAATGGTGCAGGACCCCGCGGGCGCTTCGCTCGTTAGCCAGCCCCTGAAGAAAGGACTCGACTTTGCGCTGCGGACGACTGCAGTCACCGCGTTCCGTGTCATGTGCAGCGCTGTATGCGCGGAGATCGGCACCGCAATTACGGACCAGGTGGTTATCAATCTGGAGAAGACCGCAGTGCACGAGCTTGATTGGGTCGTCCAGGGCCCAAACTTACCGTACATCGACAAAATGTTGCACCACTTTGGGGGGGAGAGCAAATGGGTTCTTGAACACCCCGCTCCCTCTCCCGATCTAGTATTGGGGGCATGCGATGCGGAGCCGCCCGGGATTTCCCTGGTGATCGACAAAATGTTGCACCACCGAGCTGTTTCGGCGACCCCCAGACCATAGCCAATATTAGATGGGAGGTGGGGGGGATGAGATGGAAACATCGCTTTGACAACGATGTCCGCTGTCTTCGGCACCAAGTGGTGCAACATTCTGTCGATGTACCGTAGTGGAGCTGCTGTGGTTCGTCTGGGACTCGGGACTACGAAGGTCGAGCTCGTCCTCCTGCTGATGAAGTTCTGCGATGTCTGCGTGGAACAAAGGAGGGCCCTTCGGCTGGGTGCCCTAGGGGCGCCACTAGCGGGCTCTGCGACCAGGTACCGCGGGTCAAGGCTTTCCTGATCACGCGGTGCTACAGGAAGCCGCCTCCGAAGAAGAGGGGGCTCGGCGCCGCAGTGTGGTGCTCCAGAACCAAGCTTGGCGTTGAGAAAAGAAATGGTTGACGAACGTCCTCCACGACCTGAGCTCTGCCCTCCGCCTGCAAATCCACGCGCTGAACAAACCCTCAAGGACATGGGCGAACAGACGGCGCTCGAGCTCCAGGCGAACATGCGCACCATGACCACGGAGGGCCACGTGCCTCACCTGGGGAAGGCCCCCTCCCCCGAAAGCAGCAAACTCGCGCTGGAGCTCGCCAGACGCTCCTCCGAGGGCACGCTGGAGGCCGCGAGCGGACTGGAGTCGAAAGCCCATGAGGACGCAGTTGCGTCTGCCCTTGCAGTTGTCCCGGCTGGAGACGCTACTCGATGGGCTCGACTACTCGGGGGCGGCCAAGAGGGGGGCGTCCAAGAGGGGGGGGGCGCAAATCATGGCCGGCGGCATGTGCGCGGCCCAGGGAGGGGGCTGGGGACGTAACGAAATAAGAAGAGGCACCATGAGATCTGGGGAGATCTCATGGCCCCCGCCATGATATCCACCCCCCCCTTAGTCATCACCCCCCTCTTTGCCGCCCGCGAACTACACGAAGTTGACGCTCCAAGGCCGGGCAGTGCCCGCAATTGCGGGGGACGACAAGTTGCCAAGGGGGGGGCACAGCTGATGCCGAGGGTCGTTGCTCTTGGCCCAGTGACGCGAGTCCAAGGATGCAAGGGCCTTGGGAGGCCATGTCGACACTTTGCGGGCGGCGCGGGCGGCGCGGCCAGCGAACGCGGCCAAGGATGGGCCGAAGGGCAAGGATGCAGGGGTAACCTTGGGAAGTTGTTCATCCTTACTATGAGGGTTGACGGTACAAATGAACGGGCAGAGCAGCGGAGACGCAACGCAGACTTCCCTCGGATCGTTCCTACTGCGCATCACCGAGTGGATGGATGCACCCGCGAAGGAGTCGGGGCGGGAGCCTGCAAATGCAAGTGCTGTGCTGCCGTCGCCCTGGTCGCACCACGTGGCCGCAAATGCGGCGGTGCGTGCAGGTGTCGCAAGACGCTCTCACAGCCCAGAGCACCGTGCGGGCCAACGCCGACCACGACGCGGAGTCCTTCAAGTTCTGGCCGTGCGTCCCAAAGGTATCCAAGGCGCTCTCCGCGAGCACGCACCCCGAGAGAGTGCCTGTACACCAACCTGTGCAGGTGCGGGCGAAGGGAGATCCAGCATCGGCTCCACCCCTGACCTCCGACCTGCACCCAGAGTTCAACCCTTCGACGGACAAGGCGCCAACCGAAGTGGCGGACCACCACGCGCGGCTGGGATTGTAGGAATGGGCTGCGCAAGACACTACGGAAATCCTATGATCCGTCGAGAAGGTCGCGCAGCTTGAAGTACAGCACGGAAACGGGGCTGGCGGAAGCGCAACTGCGCGCATCAGCATCGGGCTACACCAAACAAAGAGTTGGCGGCGTGTGCGTTTGCCTGGCCCAAATAGACTGCTGGTAGCCGTCAAGATCTCTGCGATGGTGAACATGGCGGTCGTCAATACAGAAGAGGAACCCATGTGGTGGGCGGAGCCCGAAGATGCACCGAAGAAGAGAGCGTCCGCGAAGGCGTGGAGCACGGAAGAGGCCAAGAAGTCTCAGGAGAAGGTTTCGAGATAACTTGTTTCGAAGCAGGCGGAGAAGGACATTGACGCAAACGGGAGGTTGCAGCTCTAAGGAGCAGCAGGTGTGGAGGTCAGAGTGGAGTGCGCACCTTAGTGAGAAGAGGCCGTCCACTGGTTAATGTATTACTGAGAGTACGCACGTGTCCGAAGCCACGGGGTGCGTCTGTAGAAGCGTCGGCATCTGCGCCAAGGTGCTGCCGACGCAAATGCGGACTCCTGAGGATCAGCCGCAGTTGCGGATCGGGTATCGACGAGACGACCGCGGAAAAACAGGCTCCCAGGCGAGCCGCTCCCATCAATGTTCCCCTCTCTCCCCCCGCCATCCTCCATGCTCCTCCCCCTCCTCCGCCTCCTCCTCCTCCACCTCATCCTCCTCCTGCTCCTCCTCCTCCTCCTCCTCCTCTCCTCCTCCTCCTCCTCCTCCTCCTCCTCCTCCGCCTCCTCCTTCGCCTCTTAGCATGATGATGCTTATGAGTAGTATTCGTATCATGCTCCTGTGTGTTACTATGAATACTGTTACAAGTATTGAGGTCATTGTTAGTCGTCGTAGTAGTAGTAGTAGTAGTAGTCGTCGTCGTCGTCGTCGTCGTCGTCGTCGTCGTCGTCGTCGTCGTCGTCGTCGTCGTCGTCGTCGTCGTCGTCGTCGTCGTCGTCGTCGTCGTCGTCGTCGTCGTCGTGGTCGTCGTCGTCGTCGTCGTCGTCGTCGTCGTCGTAGTAGTAGTAGTAGTAGTAGAAGTAGTAGTAGTAGTAGTAGTAGTAGTAGTAGTAGTAGTAGTAGTAGTAGTAGTAGTAGTATTAGTATTAGTAGCAGTAGTAGTAGTACAGCCAAGCCCTATCGTTCACCCGCGGCCATCAAGCATGGCAAGCGGATGAGATGCAACGTTATGATCGTAGAGAGATGAGTGATGATGGGTGACGACGATAATGCAATGAACTATTTTCTCCCTGCAAGAATTGCGGCATTTCCCCTCGCGCGGACGCAACGCTTGGCCTGTCCCTTCTATGCGCCAGTGGCCGAGTTAGGGCGAGTCGATCAGCCACGAGCTGCAGCTCGAGACATCAAAGGCGTCCTTGGGCGACAGATTGATGTCGCCGCGGGACAAAGCAATCCTGTACAAGCTCAGCGCGGTCAACACTGAGTTCAAGCCTGCGTTGCAGAGCAGGGCCGCCGACGCCAAGGCTTGGACGTTCTTCTTGCAGGTTGCTGGTGAGGTGTTGCGGCCGACATTCCCCAGCCTGCGCATTGTGTTCTTCAGGTGGCCTGTGATACCTTCTGCTGCATTATCACCCGCTGATAGTGTAGAGTAGAGCGCGGTCTCCCTGACGGAGGGATTCTTGCCCTTCGTGCGCGCCCTCAGCATGCGGGTGGTCTTGCTGTCCAATTTGGACTTGAACAACCTGGACGCAGGCGTGAAGATTTTCCTCTGGTGGTTCACGCCCTTCAAGACCTGGCGCCCAGCGGCTTCGGCCGCGCCGTGGAAGGCCTTACCGCCGTCTGGCGCGACCGCGGTGCCCTTCCCCAGCGCCTTCTTCAACGGGCCTTCCACTTCAGCCCTGGTCTCTGGGCCGCCGCCGCCTCTGCCTTTCTTCGTCTCTCTGTCCTGGAGCGCGCGCGCTGTCCATTGTTTCTTGTAACGCCCCTCAGAACGAGAGTGCGCCCCTGGTGTATCCGCGTGGAAGCCGACGATCCTCTCTTCCGCGAGCCAGCGCGGCACGTGTCAGGCTCGACCACGTCATCCTCGAACGTCGTGGATTGAGCCCGACGTACTTCCCAGCATGCCATCGCAATCTTGTGTTTGTTGAAGAACTGGGCCACCTTGTTCTCTGTGGACCTGACGCTCTCGCCTTCGCGCCGGACGTAGTGAATGCAGGAGCCGTTAGGGGTCGTGCAACCAAGCGCATAAGCCGTGCGCAAGCACATGACGTTGTCGACGTCCCATCCAGAGCTCGCGTGGCCCGCGAGCAGGGTGAACGCCACATCTGGCCTGTAGACGCGAGGCCTGATCTTGCACCCCTTCCCATGGCAGCGGAAGACGCCCTCCGAGCTCACAATCGGGCTCTTGCAGGACCAGCAGACAAACTCAAGTTCATCATCAGGTTGTGGAAGAACGCCTGCGTCCTCGAGATACTTCTTGGCCTGTTTCTGGCTGAGCGACAAGATGGTTTCGTAGGCGGGCTGCTCCAACCTAGTGAGGCCCACGTTGTGTTGGGCGCCTGTTGGCTCTGTTCCGCTGTAAGACAACCCGTACTTGTCCTTGCGCGCCCTGTTCTCACTTACTTTGATGCCATGCGGTGCGGCTGGCTTGGCTGTCGCCGCAGCGGGTCGCCTGCGCGGTATCTTCGCTTTGGAAGCAAGCTTGGGCATGGGCGCGGGGCGGGCGCGGCGCGACCGCCGCAACTGGCGACCTCAAACTTGCGGTCTAATGGCTGTGGCGCATCGGAAAAATGAAAGGTCGATCGAAACGGCTGCGGCCTGCCCTTCAAGCCAAATGCTACGGCAAAGAATGATTCAACGTGTCCTAAATCAAGACTTGCTTCTCTGTCATTCGAAACGATTAAAAAGATGGAACCGCCTGGGCAAAAACCGATCTCGCCGAGAGCAACAGCTTTGATTCCGCAATGACAACACAGCTGCGCAGAGGCTTGCGCGCGCGCCGTGCCTCAGATGCGAATGTTTTTTGTTTTTTTTTCTTCCTCAAACAATCTAGTGGCGTTCATATCTTGCCGGTTCCTCTGCGAGGCGCAGTTTGCCCTGCAAGCAGGCGCCTCCCGCACTCACGTGCATCCGAAGCTGTAGTTCTCACGCGCGGCCGCCGCTCCCACTTGCGCCGCTTCTCCCTTTAGCTGGCTGCGACGGGGCCAGCGGGGAAGAGGGCGTCTTCTTGTTAAGCTTGCGACGACAGGAGGGCACGCTGAAGTCCGAGGTGAACCTGCTCCGCTTTGTACTGTTAGCCGCCACTGCCACGGGGGGCGCCTACACTCGCGGCGTCGGATCCTCCGACGCTAACGTATTAGGAATGAAGTTGTCGAACATAGCGGCGGGGCTCGGTTGGAAGTGTTTCTTGAGCTCCTCGTTCGCGTCGCGGATGTAGTCAGCCGACCGCATGTGCAAGTTGTACTTCGCGAAGGCCGCGTCGATCATGTTCTGCTCCTGCTCATTGCGGGTCTGGAAATCTGGTGGCAAAGTGTGGACGCCCTTTTTGAATTTGTTCAGGAACGGCTTGTTCGCCTCCCGCAGCCAATCGTCTGCGATATCATCGTCTGTGAAGCGGAACACGGGCGCATCTTCGTCCTTGCTAGGCAGCCTCAAGATAAAGCCATGCTTGCCGCCAACACCCACGATGGACCTCTTCAAGATAGCCATGACGTGAGCTTTGGACGCGCCCGCGAATGCAGTCCGCATCATCTTGTAAGACGAATTGAACGGTATCTCGTGACCAACTTCTGGTGAAGGCTCGTCCTCCTCGTTGACGGCGTTGTCTGCGATGCCCCTCATTTGATTCTGGCGGAACTTACAATCGTTGTAGCGCGCGTCTGCCGTGGTGTCCTCCGCCACGTCGAGGAAGTTCTTGATGGTTGATATATCTATGCTCCCAAGATCAGCGTCGTCGAGAAAGCACGCTTCCTCCTGGCCGAACTCGCGGTGGCGGAAAACGTCGAAACGCTTACCGCGGCGCCAACCTGGCCTTCCTGTAGCGCCGCGGTTGCGGACGCTGTACCTCCCAATTGCCATTGCCAGAGTGATGAACGCTGGCGTCTTTCCAAGACCAGGCCAGCCCAGGAGGACGATGCCGAACTCCAGAAGCAACGGCATGATGATGGTCACGATGGTGTAGGCGAGCACCGGCTTGAGGTCACTCGTGAGCATGGGGTGGAAATGCTGTGTTTCTGCGCCCATCTTTGCTCTCGCCTTGTTGTTCACCATGAATCGAACCTTGCCCTCTGGCCATCCCATGATCGGCGTATCAGACACTTCGCGGATGTTGTCATATATGCAGAACGTCATCTCGTTCTGGCTGTCGTCTGTCTCGGCGTGCTTATTGATGTAAGCAATACCTGCTCAACTCATCTGAGGGCACGTTCCACGAGCCGCCCTCTCCGCCGCCGCCTTGTTTAGAGCGCGGCTTCAACGCAGTCCACGTCACGAACTTGCCTGTGATGCTGCACATCACGCGGTGAACAACCTTCTTCACCTTCCACGGGCCTGGGCGGCGCACGCGCGCCTTCGCCGCGCCCGCGCACGCGGCGCGAACCTCGGACACGGGCGCCGGCGACTCGAAGAGAATGGTCTTGATGATGGTCATGGTGTCGTCGGCCTTGCACTGCGCCAGGGCATTTACCTTGCAGTTCTCCGGCAGGGGCTGCTGGAAAGCGACTGCCTTGTGCAGAATTGAGGTTAACATAATTTAAGACGGAAAGTTATGATTAAGAATTTCAAACTTCGACTCTGGGTACGAATTAAGAACTACGCGTTTGGAAATAAACCAAAGTGAGAGAGGACAGGTTCAGCTTGCGGCAAACTGGCGTAATTCTTCGTCTGGATGGCTCTGACGATGTCGGACCACTCCTGTTTCGGGACGTTCTCCTGAACATCGAACAACGCCCAGACTGTGCGGACGCCGTCTACGGGGCGGAGCGCCGCGGCCATGAAGTCGGCCATCTCGATCTGGCCATCGTGAACTTCCCCGACTGCGGGCTCGCGGTCGTTCACGACGTAGTTGTAGTCAGAAACGGCCTCTCCCATATCGTCGAAGAGGTCTGGCATTGCCTGAGGTCGCGACGTCGGGGGGGGGGGCACTGCGACAGCGAACGCGCGGGCGCTGACAGAGGAACTAACTCCTGAATTTGAGCCACTGCTACGGCAAGCTCTACTCGCACGCGCATTGCTACGCATGGGAGCACGGAAGGGCCAACGCAAGGAGAAGCACCGCTGGGGCGGTAGGTAAGATGCAAAACCCAAGCGGTAATGTAACTGCACGGATGCAAGCTGGAATGCAAGACCCAGGCAAGGTAACAAAATGCAAGGCCGCAGGGTGACATGGAAAACCTTTGCACGGGAGACACCACAGGGGCTGTAGAGACGATAGCGATTTCGGTCCACGGAGCTTAATAGCCGACGCAGCAGCTGAGTGGCAGAGTGCAATATCCTGCGCGGGAGCGATCCGAGTCTTGCAGGGGCTTTAAACATTCTTCCAGACAACATGGGCGCTGCCTTGAGCTGTCATGACGGACGGCCGCCCACCCCCCTTCACCCTTGGGCCCTGCCCGCTGCCCACCTCTGCCTCCTCCGCCCCTGTCGCTCGGAGTCGCAGGAAAAATGCACTGAACAACGGTCCGAATGCACTGGTGCCCAAATCGCAGACTTAGGCGCCCTCCTTCTTTCTGAGCTCTAAGCCTCCCCTGCCTGAGCCTCCAGCTTCAGGCGCTTCACCTCCCTCTCCAAGGTGTCGTTCGCCTCCGGGAGCTCCTTGTGGCTCTCCAGAAGCTGGTCGTTCTCTTCCTGGAGCTTCTGCTTGTCGGCCTCGAGCTCCTCGGTCTGGTTTCGTAGAAGCCAGCTTTCCAGGCGGAGCTCTTGCTCGAGCGCCCGAGAAGCCTCCAGCTGCTCTTTCAGGGCCTTGTAGTGCTCAGGCGGCTGCTCGCTCTCCTCGTCTTCGCTGTCGTCGCTCTTCTCCTGGTCGGTGTTTGGCTGCGCCTCGCTGTCCTTGCCCTCGTCGCCTCCTGGCTCCTCGCTCTTCTCCTGGTCGGTGTTTGGCTGCGCCTCGCTGTCCTTGCCCTCGTCCTCCTCAAGGGGCGCGTCGGTCTCCTTGTCCTGGTCGGCGTCTGTGGTCGAGCTGCTGCTCTCGTCCTCGCTGCTGTTCGCCTCGCTGTTCTGCTCGCCGTTGCCCTGCGGCGCCTCGTTGCCTTGTGGGGGCGCCGGGGGCGCCGGCAGCGCTGGCGGCGGTGGCGGCGGTGGCGGCGGCGGCGCCACCGGCGGCGCGAGCAGCGCTGGAAGCGTCGGCTGGCGCCTGCGCTTGGGGCGCGAAAGAGCGTCGAAGAGCCGGTGCCACGCTGCCTCTGACCACTCGCCGCTCTGCCCCGTGGGCATGCACAACACCCTCTGAACGTTACCAATGATTCCGTACACGTCCCTGTTCAGCAGTGGAAGACGAGAAGGGTGCACGACAACACCTTCCGAGGCCTGCCTGGCGCGCACTGCGTCCGCGGTGGGAGGCTGGAGAGGCTGCGCGCGTGGACCGCCCATTGCGTCATCGATCTGCAGCTCCAGCCGAGCGCGCCCGCCGACGACCTGGGCCCATCCTTGCCGAATTGAGTACATTGGTTTGGAGTTATCGACTGGCGTACAAGTATAGTTCTTGAGCCAATGTGCTTACGGAAAGCAACTACATGTTGGAGATCTCCTCAAAACTGTTCCTCGTCATCTTCCTTCTCATCTGCCCTGTCTCCTCCCCATCCTCCTCCTCCCTTCTCCCTTATCATCCTCCCTCCTCCCTCCTCCTCCTCCTCCTCCTCCTCCTCCTCCTCCTCCCTCCTCCTCCTCGCTCCTCCTCCTCCCTCCTCCTCCTCCGTCCTCCTCCTCGCTCCTTCTCCCCTCCTCCTTCCTCTCTCCTCCCTCTCTCCTCCCTCCTCCCCCCCCCCCAGTAGTTTCAAAACGTTTTGAAACTGGCCTCAGGCAGAGCGGTTTGAAGATTGAAGATTGAAGATCGCAGCATACTTATGCCACGGAATCTTCAAACGCTGTGTGATCGTGTCAGGGGCGCCGGATGTGGCTTCTCTTCACTCCTCCTCCTCTCTCCTCCTCCTCCTCCTCCGTCCTCCTCCTCGCTGCTTCTCCGTCGCCCGGAGGTCGTGGATCCCTGTGCTCCTGCGCGCGGGCGTGCGCGCGCAGATAGTTTTAGCCTCGGGAGTGCCAGTGCGCCGCACACCTTGCGGTTCCCAAATGCTGCGGCCGCGAAGCCGCGTGGGAAGGGTTAAGAAGAGCTGGCAGAGCTTAGCACGCCGTAGGGGATGCGACGCTCCTCCTCCCTCCCCCCTCCTTCCTCCCCTCTCTCCCTCTCTCCTCCCTCCTCGTCCCTCACCCCCCAGTTGTTTTAAAACGTTTTAAAACTGGCCCCCGCTGCCTGTTTGAAGATGAAGATTGAAGATCGAGCAGACTGCCCACATGTTCAAACAGGCCGCCCAAGACGTCTACCCTACACACACGCGCTTGAAGAATCATGAACATAAGCGCCTAGGAATCTTCAATCTTCAATCTTCAAACAGAGCCGCCCACGACGTCTACCCTACACACAGGCGCTTGAATAATCACAAACATAATGCCCAGAAATCTTCAATCTCAATCTTCAAACAGAGCCGCCCAAGACGTCTACCCTACACACAGGCGTTTGAAGAATCACAAACATACGTGCCCAGGAATCTTCAATCTTCAATCTTCAAACAGAGCTGCCACAGACAAGTTTCAAAACGTTTTAAAACAGCTGGGGTCAATGCAGGGCTTTTGGGATTAATCTGTATCTTTGTTCTCCTGAATGGCCGCGGGCGAACGATAGGGTTTGTGGGTACAAGACGTCTACCCTACACACACGCGCTTGAAGAATCATGAACATAAGCGCTTAGGAATCTTCAATCTTCAATCTTCAAACAGAGCCGTCCACGACGTCTACCCCACACACAGGCGCTTGAATAATCACAAACATAAATGCCCAGAAATCTTCAATCCTCAATCTTCAGACAGAGCCGCCCAAGACGTCTACCCTACACACAGGCGTTTGAAGAATCACAAACATACGTGCCCAGGAATCTTCAATCTTCAATCTTCAAACAGAGCTGCCACAGACAAGTTTCAAAACGTTTTAAAACAGCTGGGGTCAATGCAGGGCTTTTGGGATTAATCTGTGTCTTTGTTCTCCTGAATGGCCGCGGGCGAACGATAGGGTTTGTGGCTACTACTACTACTACTACTACTACTACTACTACTACTACTACTACTACTACTACTACTACCACTACTTCTACTACTACTACCACTGCTCTAGTGGCTGCTACTGCTACTGAGACAACTACTGCGACGACGACGTGGACGACTACGTTTGCGACTACCGCTGATACTGGTAATACCACCACCACTACTACTACTACTACTACTACTACCACTACTACTACTACTACTACTACTACTACTACGGCGACGACGACGACGACGACGACGACGACGACGACGACGACTACTACTACTACTACTACTACTACTACTACTACAAGTAGTACTAGTACTACTAGTGCTACTAGTACTACTACTACTACTACTACTACTACTACTACTACTACTACTACTACTACTACTACTACTACTACTACTACTACTACTACTACTACGACTACTTCGAAATCTAGTACTACTACTGCTACTCTACTACTACTAGTACTACGACTACTCCCACCAGCCCTTTGGGCGTGAGTGGTTTAGCGAGCTCTCTCTGTTCTCAACCCCCTTCTTCCCCTTCGGGGAAGGGTTTACCCCTCCCCCTACCCCCTCCCCCTGGGCCTGGAGAGGTCCTTTCGCGGGTGGCCGGAGGGGTCTTTTTCGACTCCTGGGAGGGCTAAAAAACGACACCCCTCACGAGGATTCTGGCCCCGACGGGGGGAGGGAGAAAAGTGCCCTCCTCTTCTTTGAAGCCAAAATTATTGATCTTACTACGGTTTTGGCCCCATTTTGGCCTTCTGAGGGGGCAGCGCTAATTCAAGTTCCCCTCTTCTTTCAAGCCAAAATCACTGATTTTACAAAAGGTTTTGGCCCCATCTTGGCCTTCTGAGGGGGCAGCGCTAATTGAAGCTCCTCTTTTCTTTGATCGATTTCCTCCAAGATGGCCCCAAAAAGCGCCCAGGAGGCACCAAAAGGACCTAAAATGGCCCCAAGAGGCCCCCAGGAGGCCCCCAAGAGGATCCCAAACGGCCCAAAGAGGCCCCCCCGAGGCACCCAAGACGCCGAAGAGCCCATCAGGACGACCCTCTACTCGCCTGGGCGTCGTTTCTGGACGGGCAGAGGAGGGGCCCGAACCACTCACACCAGGACGAGGGGCCCGAACAACTCACACCACGAGAAGCCCGAACGACTCACACCAGGACGAAGAGCCCGAACGACTCACACCACGAAGAGCCCGAACGACTCACACCAGGAAGAAGGGCCCGAACGACTCACACCAGGAC